CCCCCCCCACCACCACCACCACCACCACCTCTCTCTAGAGGTGTAAAGACTATGAATAAGGTCCCAAAATAGTCTCATTTTTCTGTTGCTGGGGTACAGCCCAGCTCTTCCGTCATCACACTGTTTGGGGAGTACCCACTGCATCCCTTTCCAGTTCTCTGCTTTTGAACCCTCTTATTTGGTTTGTAAATGACTTAACCCTCACCATCTGTCCATTTCGCTAACCAGTGATGCCAAAACACAGACTGGAATATCTCTATATGTTTATCAAGTAGGCAGCATGAATTTTTGAGTTGAACCAATTTCGCCTCACAGACACGTCTAGGTTTGCGTAACCTCAGGCACAATAGTTTTTCTTTGCACCTGCTTGTGATCATTCATAAGAATTCACAGTGTATAAAATTAGCTTGCTGTTTGCCTGAACCTCAGGTTGTGTCTCCCACTGCTTCGTTATAGCAGTAAATAAACTGAATGTTAAAAGCCAGGTAGCAGCAGACTAATTGGAAAACTGACACGTATAACAAAACTACTGCTGCAGTTGCAGCAATCAGCCTCAATATTTAAACCACTGACAGGTGAAGTGTGACATGACCTCTGCCTTTGGCTCCACCTAGTGGAGCACTTTTGGTTTTGCTTCATCTTTTCATGTGCAACAAGCCAGAGGTACAGTAACCAGGTGTTGTGAGTGGCAATCAGCGGATTGCTCCACCTGCGGCGAAGCGTCGCTTGCCATTCACTCTTCAGAGTAAGGTTGCTGCACCACTCACTGCCCTGACCTCCGCCCTGCAAATATTCATTTGGACCCCCGAAGCTGAAGGGGCATTTGTGAAATTTGTGAAAGATTTACTTCGGCCCCTATTCTCATTCAGCCTGATCCCTCTCTGTAGTTAGTCGTGGAGGTGGGTGCCTCGGATATAGGTGTCGGAGCTGTCCTCTCTCAAAAGATTTCCATGGACAACAAGCTCCACCCCTGCACCTTCTTTTCTCTGCGCCTCTCCCCTGCTGAGAGAAATTATGATGTTGGGAATCGGGAGCTACTGGCCATGAAGCTGGCTCTGGAGGAGTGATGCCACTGACTGGACGGGGCGGAGCATCCGTTCATTGTTTGGATGGACCACAAAACCTTGAGTACATTCGTTCTGCCAGACGACTTAATTCAAGACAAGTTCGATGGACTTTGTTTTTTGACAGATTCAACTTTACTCTCGTATCACCCTGGCTCTAGAAATATTAAGCCTGACGCTTTCTCCCATCAGTTTGTTGGTGATGACAGGAACTCTGAGCCTGAATCTATCTTTCTTCAATCTCAACTGCTTGCCTCTCTTACCTGGGAAGTTGAGAAAAAGGTTTTGCAGACTCAACAGCAACAGCCTGATCCAGGTAATGGTCCTGTTAACTCCTTGTTTGTACCTGATTCCGTCCGTTCTCAGGTGCTGAAGTGGGCTCACTCCTCTCAGCTGACCTGTCATTCTGGGGCAGCCCACACTTTGGATGTCCTGAAGAGGAAATTCTGGTGGCCTTCAATGGACAAGGACACCTGGGAGTTTGTGGCTGCCTGTTCAACATGTGCGCGGAATAAGACGTCAACTCAGCCGAGTTCTGGACTATTACAGCCCCTACCTGTGCCCAGTCGTCCTTGGTTGCACATTGCAGTGGCTTTTGTTACTGGACTTACGAAATTGGACAGTAACACGACCATTTTTACTATTGTTGACTGCTTCTCCAAGTCTGCCCTCTTTGTGGCCCTGCCCAAATTACCCTCAGCCATGGAGATGGCTGGTTTGTTGATTAATCATGTTTTTCGTTTGCATGGTATTCCTACCGACATTGTCTCCGACCGAGGTCCTTAGTTCATCTCTGAGGTGTGGAAAGCCTTCTGTTCAGCAATGGGGGCCACTGTCAGCCTGACCTCCGGATTCCACCCCCAGTCTAACGGTCAAGTGGAGCGGGCTAATCAGCCTTTGGAGACATTTTTGCAGTGCTTGGTGTCAGAGAATCCTACCACCTGGAGCAAGCAACTAGCGTGGATAGAGTACGCACACAAATCTTCAGTTAACTAGTCTTTGGGCCTCCCCCTTTGAATGCCTTCTAGGGTACCAGGGCCCCCTGTTTCCCTCCCAGGAGCAAGAGCTGTTCGAGCCTTCGGTTGAGCATTTTGTGAGGAAGTGTGGCAGGATTTGGAAGAAGGCTCGGGCCTCTCTTCATCATGTTAATCTCCAGATGGAGAGGCAAGCCAATCGGCGCCGTTGTCCAGCACCCACCTACCTGGTAGGACAGAAGGTTTGGTTGAAAGCCAAGGACCTTCCACTTAAGGTGGAATCGAAGACGTTGGCTCCACATTCCATGTGTGTCCACCCTACGTTTCATGTGTCTCAGATTAAACATGTAATTGACTCTGTTTTGACACCCTCTGTCCAGCCCCCTCCTCCATCCAGAATGATGGATAACGCACCAGTTTTTTCCGTAAGGAAGCTTCTGGATTTCCAGAGGACAGATCGCAGCTTCCAGTATCTGGACGACTAGGAAGGATACGGCCTTGAAGAAAGGAGCTGGATGGGCGCCCGTATAGCTCACCTGGTTGAGCGGGTGACCCATGAACAGGGGCTACAGTCCCCGACGCAGCGGTTGTCAGTTCGAATCCCGCTCATGACCCTTTGCTGCAGGTCTCTCCCTCATTCTTCTCCCCCCTTTCCTGTCTCTCTCCACTGCTCTAAATAAAGGCAAAAGCCCAAAAAAATATATTTAAAAAAAAAAAAGAAAGGAACTGGATGTCTAGGAAACTGATTTTGGATCCTGGTCTCAATTAGGACCTCAAATGATGACACCCAGAGAAATTTGGACATGCCCCAGAAGGGTCACGTGGGGGGGGTTACTGACATGACCTCCGTCTTTGGCTTGCAACCGCCTTTGGCTTGCAACCGCCCGTGGCTTGCCATTCACTCTTCAGACCTGAATTCAGTATTTAAGATGCCACCAAGCCACAAGTCGACGCCGGATTGTTGTAAAACCCATGTTAGTTTTGCTCTCGTCTGTATGCTGTGCTTGGTACCTTGATTCCTGCTCTTACCCGATTGTCCTGTGCTTCAGTTTCGCCACGTTCGCTGCCAACCAGTGATCCACTCTTTGTTCCTGATTCCCCACTACTTGGATTTCTCTGGCTCCAGCCCTCCATATCCCCTGTGTCCCTCCACTGAAGTCATTTGGTCCACCTCCGTCTCCTCCGGCTCCCCCTCACTAGTTTCTCGTATTGTAGTACACCTTATCTCTTGCCTACTCAACCAGTAGTTGTTATTTATAGGTTTGTATTCATTCCGGTAAGTTTTGAATTAATTCGTAAGTAAGTAAGTCCGTCGTCCTTCAGAGGGTGTTTGGTACTACTTTCTAGTAGTAAGTATTTATTAGGAGTAGCTTATTTCACCAGTCCTTTTGCGAACCTTAGTTTGTCTTTTTGAATCTTTGTTTGTAAATAAATTGTTTCGTTGATTGAACATTGTTGTGGTCGAGTGTTTTGTCTGCGCTTGAGCCTTTGTTTGCCAAACCGTGACAAAGTGAAGAACATTGCTCTCGTTACAATGCAATG